GACTCATAGGGTGGATTATCGATTCTTGTGTTCTGCATTAAACTATTTATAGTTTAAGGGCCTGGTTAGAAATGTTGCCTTAGACTAGGAATAGCTAAGAGCTTGTTATAAAATGATTTGGCCTTAGATTAAGAATAATTTAAGAGCATGGTTAAGATATTGAATATCAAATGACTTGGAATAAAATATTGAGAATATCATGAATGTTTGAATCATATATTGTGTGCATGATATCAAATGGTTGATTATGAATTGAGATTCGATTTATTTGGATGTTCGACGCTTTAGATATGCTTACTCAGCTTCATCGCTGAGCGTGTAGTATGTTTTATTTGCTACACGCAAGTAGACAGAATGAGTGAATGACATGTTCTTGGCAGCGGAAGGGGCGAGACAATCGTGGTGGATTTATTGAGAAAATAAATGATTATGTTATTATGAATCATGTTTAAAAATCGCTTCCGCATTAAACACTCCGTATTTACTACAATTATGTTTGGAATTTCATTTATGATGAATAAAGTTATTTGAAATGCTTTAAATTATACGATTACCAAGTTAATACTTTAGTTCGGAAGGGGTTGTAAACCTGGACGGATTAGGGTGTTACAATTTGGTATCGGAGCAAATGGTTTTAAACACGATCTTCGGATCAATGTTTGATTTAAAAATATATATTATATATTTTGGGTTAAAAAAAAATATAATGTTAATCAAATCCACGACTCTCGCATCCCTCTGCTCCAGGAAGGTAATAAAAAAAATGAGTATTGAAATTGACTGTATCAAATTTTATAGATGTCAACTGTTAATTCGGAAATGATATCATGTGGTTATTCAAGTCGCACTTTCGTACTTGGTAAAAGACGAAAGAACAAACGAAATGTCTATGACTCGTTGATACGTTATCAACGTGCACATCGATTCGCAAGAATAATGAAACAAAGGATTTATCTGCGCCGCAAGGCTGCATGGGAACGAGATGACCCAGAAGAGACGTTCAGCGTAGACTCTGCCAGTAGCGTATGTGGGTCGGGCAAGGAAGACTCGTCTGTAGATTCGGCACGAACCAACCAATGAAACGCAAACGCTTAGAAAATTATCTTATTGTTGGTTTCAAATCCATTGATTGTATCAACTGTTGTAATCCTTTGCAATTCCTGTCTTAGACTCAACTACTGAATAAAAGAATCCTAATAAAGGAATTTCTATTATTGTAGAATGAGTCAAGAATCTGCCCACGGATAAGGGAACAATAATTAACACGTCAGTGTTCATACTGAAGTATCTAGCTTTACCCCTCCCATCCAAAATGAACCCGTCAATCAGCAAAATGTTGAGAATAACCCGAACGCGGATGGTCAACCCGACCTTGTGATTCCCACATTCCTAGCAAATGTATTACAACAGATAGCCAACGCACCAATGTTTCAACCACCTCCACCACCGCCACCACGAGTGATAACCTACAAAACATTAAGGGATAACGGTGCAGAATTATTCCTTGGGGATCGCATCGGTGAACCCCAAATTGCATGGGACTGGATCGAGCAGACTGCTCGAGTGTTGGAGGATCTCAACGTACCCATTGGCAACTATCCCCGACTGGCATCTCAGCTGCTTTGCAAGGAAGCCTACGAGTGGTGGAAGAGGACCGATGAGAGTGTTGGAACCCCTAAGCCATGGACATGGGCACATTTCGAATGGGCATTCAAGCAAGAATATATTCCAAAACGTTTTAGCGAAGAAAGACGTAAAGAATTTGTCGAACTGCAACAGGGAGGCATGACACTCCCCGAGTATCGTCAGAAGTTTACCAGTCTTGCTAAGTTTGCACCAACCTTGGTGAGTACCCCCAATCGATCGCATCGAGGAGTTCAGGAAGAAACTTCGACCTGACCTCAGGTCGCGTGTGTCCGTCCTAACCACCGTGGATTTCGCAGAGGCCTACGATCTCATAGCTAGGGCAGACAGCGACTTGAGTGCTTGCATTGAGTATCTGAAGACAAATAATGTCAGTTCAAACACTCACCATCCCATCAACTCTGTCTCAAAAGGAAAAAGGCCGCTTCAGGAATCTAGCAATTCACACTTCTCAAAGAAGGGGAAATCGGTGCAAACGCACTCTGTGGCGTCGGAAAACAAATCAAGAGGGTGGAAACACCCATTGTGCGATACATGTGGGAGACATCATCCAGGCGAGTGTTGGCTTGCCCAAGGATTATGTCTAGGTTGCGGCAAACCTGGACATTTTCGAAGGGATTGCCCCACTAATCCTGGCAAACCATTTCCGATAGCCCCAGTTGTCAGCCAATCAGCATCAGCACGACCTGCGCCAAGTCAACGATCAACGGCAAGATCTAATCCGGCCAAGAACCAGAGTCAGCAACAAGGACGAGCTCCTGCTCGTACTTATGCAATGAAGGCACGAGCTGAGGAAAACCCTGACGTCATTCAGGGTATGTTTTCCTTATTTGATTCTGTCATGCATGTGTTGATAGACCCTGGATCAACGTTATCTTATATCTGCGTACCTATACCTGACAAGGCTGACATAATGAATGAACAATTGGAACAACCTATACTAGTGTCTAACCCGTTAGGACATAGTATGAGGTTAGGTCATGTGTATCAAGACTGTCCATTGATTGTTGAAGGACATCAGTTCTCTGCCAATCTTGTCGAATTACCGTACAAAGAATTTGACATCATCCTCGGAATGGACTGGCTCACCGAACACCAAGCAATTATCGATTGCCGACGACGAACGATTCAACTAAAGTCTGGAGAGGGAAAGTCTATAGAGGTGAAAGAGAATCTAACACCTAGATCCACTGAATTCATCTCGTACATACACGCTAGGCGTCTCATTCGAAAGAAATGTGAAGCTTATCTGTGTAACGTAC